TTGTCAGAGGCACGTGCTCAAAGAGCCAATTCAACAATTGTAAAAGATCACTTTGACAAACTATATAAGATAATCCACTTACCCCGGATTGTATTTGGAATATGGACGAAACTGGCTTCATTATAGCTCCTAAGGTTCAAAAAGTTCTCACAGCAAAAGGTACCTGTCAAGTCTATACGGTTGCACATGGTAACTCTCATGATCATATTTCTGTTGCGCCTACAATTTCGGCTGCTGGTGACTACATTCCCCCGTTAATTATATACAAAGGAGTTTGTGCAATTCCTGGTTTGTTAGATGGTGCTCCATCTGGTACGGTTATGGGGTTTACTGACTCGGGATATATGCGTGAAGAACTCTTTCAAATGTATATTGAACACTTTGTAAGTTCTATTCCTTTTCGTCGTCCTGTTCTGTTGATGCTTAATGGTCACAGCAGCCATATAAATTATATGAGCGTTAAATTTTGTCATGAAAATAAAATTTTGTTGTATGCACTTCCACCGCATACAACACATGTCCTTCAACCATCGGAACTACCTTTCGCTAAACTCAAATCCGAATATAGTAAAAATTGCGATCAGCTTCACCATGCAACTGGCGAGTTGGTGACTAAGCATACGTTTGCTAAAATGTTCGGTCCAGCATTTATTAAAACTTACACCTCTACAATGATAACTAATGCTTTCAGAGCTACAGGAATTTGGCCTTTTAATCCTAATGCCATTAGCCCACATCGTCTCGATCCTTCTTTAACTACTGAACGAATTGATATCTTACCTTCATCTTCTCAACAAAATGATTATCCTTCTATACCGTCTTCTTCTATAGCATTTTCTACACAACCTTCTTTTACACTGTCTTCTTCTACAGTATCTTCTACACTATCTTGCTCTACACTGTCTTTTTCTACACCATCTTTTTCTACACTGTCTTCTTCTGCACCGCCTTCTTCTATACCGTCTTTTTCTACACCGTCTTCTTCTATAGTGTCTTCTTCTACACCATCTTCCTCTACACCGTCTTCTTTTATATTGTCTTCTTCTGCCTCATCTTCTATACTATCTTC